GATAGCAAAATAAAATTAATTAATAAAATAAAATAAAATATCACAACCATCAGACTCCTGTCTCCGTGCCAACCCTCTCAGATGTGAATATAACCTGGAGAAGCCAGAGATGGCCACTCTCTTTTGGATGCTGGACATGAGATGGCAGATCACCCACCCCTTGGGGATCAGCCCGGTGGTTCAGTTAGTTTCCCCATCCCTGGTCCTCCCCCAGAGGCCTGTGTCACTGAGGTCCCACGGCATCATGAAGCCAGTATTGGGCTCTACAGGAAGACCTAGGCTGGCCGGTTCATTATTGAAATTCTCCCCTCCCTGTACCTGTGCCTCTCGTGTGTGGCTTTGCAGCTCTTCCCATGAGGAGGGAGAGTCTATTTGCCACCCTTTGAGTCAAGGCTGGCTGTGACTTGCTTTGGCCAATAGTGTGAGTGATGCTCTTTGCCAGACAGTGACCCTTAACGCTTCCACTCACATTCGGGGAAGCCTCAGACCACCATGCAAGCAAGCCCAAGCTAGCCGGCTGGAGGATGCATGACCATGGGGAAGACAGCAAAGTCACCCCCACTGAGGCCATCCCAGCCAGACCAGTCAGCCGGCAGCCTGCAGCTGACCACAGACACAGGAGCCCACTGAGATCAGCCGACCACAGACACAGGAGCCCACTGAGATCGGCCAAACGGCCCAGGTCAGCACCACGACCCAGCTGACATGGAGACTTGTAAGCAGTAATAAACGGTGGTTGCTTGAAGCCACTAAGTTTTGGGGGGCTCCCTTGTAACAATAACTAATGTGCCAGTGTAACCATCTCCTAGCTTTTGCACTTGGCCAAGTTATTTAACCTTTCTAAGCCTCAGTTTCCTTATCTGGGAACTCTAAGTAGTACTACATAGTATAATAGTATAGTATAACACTATATTATATAGTGTTATATAATATTAACTAATACATTAATAGTAATGATCACATTATGTTAATGTATATAATTAATATAAATATAACTATATATCAACATAAGTTAATATAAAATCAATAAATTGACATTATTCTTACAGTATTATATAATAATATTACATATAATACTAGGATACAAGAATAATAGAAGTATAAACAGATAATAAAGGCACTTGCCTTACAGACTTGTTGGGAAGATTAAATGAGGCAGGGATGGAAAAGGGCTCGGCCCAGAGCCTGGCACGCAGTGGGAACCCAACAAGCGCCGGCTTATAGTTGCCCTTCCAGCCCTTGCACCGCCTGCGCCAGGCCCGCCGGGCACCCAGAGCT